TTGAGTTGTGGGGATGGAACCACAGCAACCTGAGACTGACTGCTTTGTTGAAGCAGCCACTTAAAGAACTGAGCTAAGGGGCAGGCACCCTATAATTTGGCATAATATTAAAAAAAGAAGAAATCCATAAAAAGAAGAAGTCAAAACAAAAGATCTTTTGGTAATGACAGTAACAGGCTCCTGTAACATCATACCAGGCAGAGACCTCGTTTTCTTCCTCTTGCTTATAGAAGTGGCTGGATGTGTGGCTGCTGTGTACAGGCCTGGATGTCCTCTCCTACAGACTCTAGAGGCAACCTACATGAGTATGACTAAGATTGGCAAGCCTAGAAGCTGGCAGACTGCACCCACTCCCTGCCCTGTGGGACAGAAAGCTCGTGAGTGGAGAGGACAGAAGCAGAGTTTATTGAAGGAGATGAAGGAGTGTGGTGAGTTACATGGCACACTCAAGAAGCTGAAACTTCAGGTGAAGCCTGAAGAAAGCCAGGTTGCATGCCCAGGATCAGGCTTAGAAATGTGGCTACAAGAAACATCAAAGAGTAGAAGAGAATACGGAACTCTAAACAGGGAGCTTTATGGGAAGTGCTCTTTAAGAAGTAATTGTACCCTTGGATTTCCTTCTCATCCCAGGTACAAGATCCAACCTTTATCTCTGGAAAAAACAATTTCGGGATACACCAGGAAGAACAGAGGTTGAAAAACCAGGGCAAGAAGATGAAGTCTACATACACTTCTAGTTCCCCCTTTAACACTTGATTAGTTGTACTGCTCAAGATTCTTGTCTGAAGAAACTGAGTAGCTGTCAAATCAATGCTGAGAAAAGGTATTCATAGAAATCACCCAACAAAATATTCTGAACAGTGAAACCAGCTAGTGCCTAAATCCCATTCAGTCATACAAATCTTCCAATTATAATTTTATGTTGTGTTTTGTGTTTACACTTTTAAATATTTATGTGGTTTGTGTATTTGTGTCTAGGTGTCTCCCCAAAGCCTCACCCAGTCATAGGGTGGCTTCTGGAGTTTGTGATCGATTATTGTGGGTGTGGATGCTGCACCTGCTCTGGAGCAGATAATTTACATTTCAATGTAAGGAGAGAAGAGAAGTTAGACCCTTGAGCTGCTGTTACTCTTTTGCTCTCTTGCTCTTTGCTGCCACTGTGAAAGGTTGCTTTCTGCTATGTGCTGCTCTGCCTTGGACCCAGCTGAGTATGGACTGCAACCTCCAGTAACTGTGAGCTAAATAAACCTTTCCTGCCTTTATTTTGAATGTTAGATATTTGTCCCAGCAAGGAGAGAAGAGTAACTGAGACAAACATAAAGTGACACTCAAAGTTTAACAGAGGTTTATTTATTTTATTTTATTGACTTATTTTTTGTTGTACTGGAGATTGAACTCAGGACCCTGCGCTTGCCAGGCCAGCACTTATTGTACTGAGCTATCTAGCTGGGCCCATCAAAATTTAACAAATCTTTGAATAACTTTTTGAGTATCAAAGATAGAAACTGAACTATGCCCCCCAAAAAAGGTATACTGAAGAATATAGACAAAACAGAGAGGAGAATTTTCACAGAAGATATTTCCATTAATATTCTGAGAGATATGAGACAATAAAACATCCAGAATACAAAACAGACTTCCAAAAGACTACTCAGAGAACAGGAAAGTTGGAAGATAAATCTTCCAGAAAGTAACTTCAAAGGTAGGAGATGAAAAATACAAAAGATTAGGAAATTATAGACTCAATCCTAAGGAGATAATCTTTAAAACTATTACAGAGCAGAGACTGGGAGGGCAACTGTGAAAGGGGTGAGATGGGAGGGAGTAAAAGAAATGGGAAGTGAAAAGAATCAAGATGTGCTGTATTCTAAACTTTCAAAGAGTGGGGGATGGAACCCAAGAGTGCATAAAGGATGAGAAATTAAGAAGCAAAAGTCTTCTCAGTATCTACAGTGGAAATCTAAAAACAACCTAGAGCTTGCCCTCAAAATCCCATACAAAAATAGCTTGTAATTTATGATATAAACTGTCATTCACATGTGAGGATAGAAAACAGACATTTTTAGACCTGTGAAGACTTAAAAATCCTTTTCCACATAGTATTTATGAGACATCTAGTAAAAGCAGTGCACTGACAGAAGGTAAGTCAATTTAAATTTTAGAAATTAGAGAATTTTTTTAAAAAGAGAGAAGTATTGAAGGAAATGCCCAAGATGACAATAACTAATGGAACCAGAGCAGCAGGAGAGCAACTGGTCAGGCTGAAAGAGCAGGAAGAAAGTATCTGGTTAGCAACTCAGAAGATCAGCTTGCCAAACTATGCTAATGTGTTCAAAATTTAAGACAGTTCCACTTTTGCAAAGAAGTGTGTGTCACCAACTTGTTTACTGTAGTTGCTACCTTATATCTACCTTTTGGCCTGATATAAGTTGTTTGCAATCCAGGTGCCCCATGCCACCTTTAGTTTAGTAAAACTCACCCTCCCCATGTAATTGATATAGTCAGTCAATAGTTTCTCATCTCACTGACCCAAATCCCAATGCACCAGGTTAATGATGACAGTAATCTAAGGCAGATAAATTCTCCCTTTGCCAGTGTGTTTGTTCCATAGTTGCATTTTAATCTAAGCAATCTGTGACTACCAGATGACAGACTCAGGGACAATTCCAGTGGATCTTAATAAAGGTATATAAAAGCCTACTTAATCCACCACCAATATCATCCAAATTTTTCTTAAAAGATAATGAAATTGAACATTTCTTTGGAATTCATAAGCAGTTTCATATCCTTTCTTTGTTGCTTACCAAAATAGGAACAAATAAAAAGAAAGTTTAATTATTTGATTTATTTTATATCTGCTCCCAAACCTGTCATGCCTTGGGGACTTCCTTTGGTCACGTGATCCAATTACTCAAGGACAATTGGGAGAGACTGGCCACTTGTACTGAACTTGCAACTCTTGGAAGACTACATTTAGGATGTAACACTTTATACAGGCATAAACAAAACTGTTTTCAAGAAGATTAACCAGTTTTTAAGCTTTTAAATACAGTGTAATTAGTACCTATTTAAACCAATTTTTGCCATTTAGATCTAAGGTATCTGAGGATCAAAAAAGCCAGCACAGATACTGCCAAAGAAGCTGACCAAGTACCAGACATGGAGCAGACTGGAAGACTACACACCATTCAGGTCTTGCGACATTCCCAAGCTTTTTGGCACATCACACTGTAAGAAAACCTAATCAAACATGCTGATTTGCCAAGGTCAAATTGATTACACTTTTAAAGTCAATGTAATGAATTTTAGGGAAGGGGGTTTACAAGGTATTCAGGGTTTCCTAGATCGGACTTGTAGTGATCCACCTGTTTACAGCCTCCCAAGTGCTGGGATTACAGGCTTGCGCCACCATGCCCAGTCTCCTTAGCTATGTCAGTATGCCTCGGGGGCGAGGCCGGCAAGGCAGGCCCAGGGATCAAACCCCTGGCCCTGCGCTATTTGGCCTCCCCAATTTTTTTTTTTTTTTTTTTTTGCCTGTATGCTTTCTCAGATGCTTTAGTCACTGCCAGCCAGCATAAAGTATGTTGCATTCCCTTTACACCTTAAAAGCAATTGAAACATACCTGTTGTTCCAGAGGTAAAAATATAAAGACAAATAGACTTGAGGCTCGAGACAGCATGATGGCTGGGCGACACAGGCTCATCAGATGCTGTGCTCAGCTTTTGCTTGAGTGAAATAACTCCTTGGGGAACAGAATCTTCCATCCCCCAAACGCTGACATCTTTAGGGAGGCTAGCAAGGATTTCTTCTACAGTTCCAAGCAAATCTGAAATTAAGGATTAGAAAAAGATAAACAAAATTTAAACCTCTAACCATCCATCCTGACTTTGCTTTTGTGTTTTGAAATAGAGATAAAATGTAAATGGCATGTTGACTCCTCTCCCATACTGAATGAGTAATGCAACATCTATTTTACAGTTCTGTTTCAACAGAACTGAGGAAAGGGAAATTTGCTTACCATCTGATTGAATAACATGAGTAGATAATTCAGGTGAACTTTTAGAGATTCTAGTATTCAAATGGTGGATTTTCTAATTTCTAAATAAAGTCACTTATTATATTCTCTTTGGAGCCAAATGCACTAGCTATTTTCTTTGAAATATGACCTTGTAGCTAGTTGGTCCACAAAGCCATGGTCTCTGTCTGCAGTTATACCACAATGAAATGCACGTGGGAAAATCCCCTGACTTTTCTGGAATTGCAGCATCATTGTGGTTTAAATCCCAGTGTGGAGCCAAAAGCTAACTGAGGAGATTTAGAGAAGTCTTTTTTTCTCTGCACCATCATATTTAAAGATAAAAGCCCTTGACAGGCCAGGGGGAAAGGAACACTTTCAGAAAAGTCCACAGGATGTCCCACACAGGGAAAACACTGACCAGGGCAGTTGAGGGTGGGTGAGAAGCGAGGAACCTCCAGCAATAGGAGGGTCTATAGCTGCCAGTAGAGACAAAATCAAGTGGAAAAGAAGAAAGAACAAAAAAACTGGGAGAATCTTTAGTTTTCCAAGTTTGGAAAGATCAAAGTTCTGAGGTGAAACTTATGCTCAGGGAAGGAAAAGCATGCTTTTCTCAGAATGTATCTGCTGCAAGTGTAACAAAACTACCTTTCATGTGAGATTCTGTTGAGTTATTCGGAGAGATTAAACTGCATCTCCGTTACTTAGTCATTAAGGAAAATAAGGTCATCTGCTTATGAGTAAAAATAAGTATTTTTTTTAAAAGTGAGAATGAGTCCCTGTAGATGAAGTACTATATATTAAGGTGCCATCACCTGACAGTATACAAAAGGAACCAAAAGCTATCGCTCTTTTGAAGTCTTTTGTGTAATTGAGTGAGGCATATGTGCTTTTTTCCAGAATAGAGAGATTAAAATTTTCTATATGCTTTATATTATTTTTTAAATATAACACTTTCTTTAGCACAAATCTTTTATACTGGGATTTAACTTTTATGTTCCACATGCTTAATTCATCTCATACCCATATTCCTATAAGATGCTATTTTACTTACCTTAAAAACTACATTAACATATTGGGGATAATAAATGATGACACACACTGGTTTTTGAACTTAATGGGGAAAAAACTAGCCAGAGATTCTTCCTTATAGCCTTCCAAGAGACGTGGCCTTGGGGATACTTACATAATTGACTTATTGAGTCTTTTGAGATAGGGTCTCACTATGTAGTTCATGCTTGCCTTGAGCTCACCTTGTAGCCCAGACTGGTCTCAGACTTTCAACAATCCTCTTGCCTCAGCCTCCCCAGTGCTGGTATGTGCCACTGTGCCTGGCTTATTACTTACATTTTTTTTTTAAATATTAGGATAGGGCCTATAGGGTCTCATTGCATAGAATGGACTCTTAGTGATCCTCCTATTTTCAGCCTACAAAAGTGCTGGGATTGCAGGAGTGCCCACCATGCCCAATCTTAATTACTGTCTCAGCAAGGCCTGGGGTGAGCCTGGCACCGGCAGGACTGGGGATCGGACTCATAGCCCCTGTATCTGCTTAAGCAGAGTTACTTGCATTTTGGGTTTCTAGTCCCAGAACTGGGAGAGCACATTTCTTTTGTTTAAGCATCTTAGTTTTTGATACTTTATTATAGCAATTCTAACAAACTAATATACTAAGATTGAAAAGTTGGCTAAATGCTAAACTGACCAAAGTCTAGTGAACATTGAAACTACATGACCTCATAAAAAATTTGATGTCTAAAAACTAATGTTTAACAGACTTACCGGAATGTTCAACACATGCAAATAAGGCCCTTTATATCTAAGGCAATTTTTCCCATTTTTAATTAAAACTTCAATAATAAATATAATAATAACAAGCTATAAATTGCTTTGCCTCTGAATTTGGAGTGTTGCACTAGACATTTTCAGGGAAGCGTAAGTATTATCTGGTTATCTCCAAAAGCCACTGGTCACTCACTAACTAGTTCTTTATTAATGCAATGCATTTGGGGAAGACTCATGTTTCTCTTTATAAAAATATATAATTCAGATGGATTATAAAAAAGCAACAAGAGAAACATATCAAATGTGAATAAGCAGTTCTTAAGTAAAACCCATAAGATACTAGAAGAAAACACAGAAATGATACGGAATTAATATATTGCAGGGTTGTGCGGGGAATTGGCGACTTAAAATGCCTATTAACTTTTGTTTCTAAAATAAGCTCAAATAAAACAAAATATAAGAATCAAGAGACTGGGTGTAGTGGCACATACCTATAATGCAAGCACTTAGGAGGCTGTAAACAGGAGAATCACTACAAGTCCAAACTAGGAGTGAGACCCTGAACACACTATAGACCCTTTCCAAACAATACAGAAAAAAAAAAAAAAAGGAATCCAGAAATACATCATGCTGCCTTAAACATATTGCTTTGAAAAAGAGAAGTGAAAACCCACAGGGAAGCTCAAAGGAAAAACAACTCATCAGCACATGAAAAACCAGGACAGAGGATTTGGGTTTTTGATAATGGTAGTTCTAAGTTTTGTTTCAACAGCTTTTTTTTTTTTTTTTTTTTCCATTTCACGTTTTGAACTTATATAAGTCTCTGAGCTGATTCTTTTTATTTAAATTAATTTCAAATCTGTCATTTAGAATTACAAATTAACAACAAAATTTTATATGTTCGTAATAATCTGTATTCCTAAATTTGGAGACTAAAGAGGACACAAAAGTTAAAAGAAGACAGTGACTCTATGTCTTACTTGAAATTGTAGAGTCTAAGAAATGGGAGGGGCTTAGGAAGTGTGGTAATATTTACATAAAAAGGAAGAGAACAGAAATCTGAAGAAACAAAATCTCTTTTCCTAAAAATTGAGTCATTTTAAGTGAGGCAGAATTCTTAAATAGAATGGTTCTTAACCAGATTGTTTTTTCATCAGTGGTGAAAAATGTGGGAAAGGACAGAGAAAACTGTAATGAAAATTTGAAACATCATGGAAGGAGAAAAGAATAACCGCTTACTTTTCTCTGGCAATCATTCTTAGCAAAAAATAAAAGAATGTTTTTGTTCATTTTGAAAGTGAATATTAAGCTCTGTTACCGCACACTTTATTTAAATACTTCAAGGAATTTAGGCTCTGGTTTGTACAGATTTGCTTCTGTGAAAAACAGGCTACCTCAGAGGCCTGCAGCAGCGTAAGGAGCTCCTAAGGCCTGTACGTGCCAGTGCCACCCGTCGGCTCTTGGAGACTGAGGGAACTGAGCTCGGCACCAGAGGCCGCACCACAGACCCAGGTGTTGAGAGTAAGCCACTACCAGAAAACTAAACAGCTAGATTTCCTACAACTACTCCTGTCTACATTGCAACAGAAGGCTCAGCGTGCCTTGTAAAAGTGATGTGTTCATTCAAAAACATATATATTTGTTTTGCCCTATATGCAAAGCAGTTAGATGGGGTTACAAGCACCAATACAAGTGATCAGTCCGTGCCAAGCACATGTTAGCACTTTTTGCACAAACTGATTTCTTGTTTCTGTATCACTAACATCTCCTGTTACATTTCTAAGACTATAAAACCAATAAGTAAAAATTTCACATAACCTTCCAATATACCGTTAACATGAGTTTTACTATTCATTTTGCATGGAAAACATTATATTAGTATCTTATTCTATGTAAATAAACTAATATTTTCAAAGGTATGGGAAGAGAACCAATTAATTGTGGAGCTTGATACTCTGGTAAGTATTTCAACTCTAAACCTTTGTGCAGGGCTAGGGGATAGCTCAGTAGTAGAACAACTTGTGCAGGTGTGAGGCCCTGGGTTTGAAAAACAGAAAACACAAAGCTTCAGTGTTTTGTGCATTAACAAGCCTAATATGAAAATCAATTATAGTGAACTTGTGATTCCCAAATGGTAAAAGAATATCTACAAAACATACAAAGTGAATTTATAGATTTCTTTACATAGGAATAATAATCATCTTATGCAGAACACAGGTTTGCAATAGCATACATAGGTAGGCTGAGGTTCTTAAGAAGACTGATGCTTAAATTAACAATGTTCAGAGACAATGCATGCTGCCATATAGATCTTAATATTTCCTATAAGCCCCGTAATTCACTTTTCATAAATTATGTCCCAATTAATATTGTAAGCATTGCTTCCAATTAATTTTATAAGCATTACTTTTTAATAATGAAGATAATTCTAGGAAACTTATGTTTTCTAGGAAATTTCTCTGTTTTAAGGAAATTAAACCCGACTCTGCAGGCCATTGAAGGTTAAGAAAGTTAATAAGTGATAGGACTTTAGTTTAATTCAGGTGTACTGCGCTATAAATTCTGTTCCCTAGAGTTTTAAGACCTGTTGCTTCTGTCACTATCTTGTCACTAGGACACAAAATCCAACGCCCACAATTCAAAAGAGGAAGAGTTTATTATGAGCCATAATTTTTATTAGTCTCAGTCCACAGCTGGGTGACTTCGAGGCAGCAAGGAATAGTGAAGGGGTCTGGCTGAAGAGAAGCCACTCAAGTCCTGGTGGCGGGGAAGCGCAGGCAGAATGGAAAATCCGGGGAGGGAGAACCCCCTCAAGGTCCTTAGGCCCCGCCTGCCCATCTCTGACAGCAAATCAGCTGTCGCTTTCCCGCCCTGGGCTTCTTTGTCCCCTTGACTGACTTCTTTGCTTTCCAAAAGCTCCGGCCGGCCAGGGAGGATCTGAGGCTTTGGGGAGACAATCTCCATGGCCGCCATAACACCGATGTTATTTTCAAAAGCAGTTTTCATAATATGATTAATTGAATAGTTCCCTCCTTTTCCACTCATAGATCGTAGGTCTCAGTCATTCTGCTGTTCTCAGTTCTCTATTTAGTCTTATGATCATCCTTTACTTTTTAATTACTAAAACCTATTGCTTTCTTGTAGAGCAGAACTAATACTTGACTGACCTAAATCTATGATTGGAAAAACAATGAAAAATTGCCATCGTAACAAATACGAGGAGGGCTGGAGAAATAGCTCAGGAGACTAAGCACCTACTTAGGCAAGTGCAGAGGTGAGGGTTAGATCTTTGGCACCACATGCCACACATGCCCCACCCCTGGGCATGCTGAGTTGGCCACTGAGTTCAGACGTGATGGCACATGCCTGTAATCCCAGAACTGGGGAGGCTGAAAACAGGAGGATCTCTATGAGATTGAGCTGTGCAGTGAGACCTTGTACAAAATACAAAAAGAACAACAACAAAGAATAAATGATTCAATGCTGTTAAGTAGACATACGTAAGGAAATTGTAGTCCATGGATAAGGTAATAAAAAGCTCACCGGAGGCTTTCATGTATCTCAACCCATATCGTTTTCTATAAAACTTAAAGTGTCATTTTTGCAACTTTGTCTCTTGCTCTTTTACAAGCAGATGGCTTTATGGCTGAAAGTCATTTGGAGAACTACAATGGCCCATTGTTAACCAGACCATTTGACCTGTACTCTGAGTACAATCACTCAGGAAAAGTAAGAGCTTCATGCACTACTGTGTGTAGAGAGAGGAGATAGAAGGTTTTATTTATTGTGAATAGAAATCTAAAATCCCTAAAATAGGTTCGGGTGTAAGTATTATTAAATCTAGTAAGACACAGTGACGCAAACCTGTAAACCAAGCCCTCTATGAGCCTGAGGCAGAAGGACCACAGGTTTGAGCCCAGGCTGGGCAATTAATTTAGTGATTTATTGAGAGCTTGTTAAAAAAAATTTTTTTTTAATTATCAGGAATGTAGCTCACTTCAAAAGCTCTTGGTCTAATCTTCAGTACTGGAAAAACATAAAAGAGATTAGGATAATAATTTACAAAGTTCATTTATCTGTTATTGGTTACAATTATTTAATAGTGATGCATTGAGGAAGGTGGAAAAACAAAATATATGCACATAGATAAACCTGAAATCATGTAGATGACTTTTTCATCTAAAGCACTTGTCATCTGTTGGAAGCAGTAATTCAAATGTTTAGCGATACTGACCACAAGTAACACCATGAATAAATCCCAACCATATCTGTACCCTGAAAGTCAATCACTAAAATAAAGAAGTGTAACATGTGTTACCAAGGCTACACAAGCCAACTGAGACTTACCAACCACTCATTGTACCTCACAGTTTTATTTAATTATTTATTGATCAATTAATCCAAACAATAAATACTTATTGAACATCTCCTTGGTGCTATCACCTGAAATTTGGTAATGAGCAAAGCAAATTTCTTCAGCCCAAAGAGCTTTCAACCTCATTCGCTAGTGATTTTTCACAGGTGTACTAACATCTTTGTCAATTGGCTAAGGGAAATTAGGATTTAACTGGATCACTCAGCACTCCTGAGGCAAGAGGACCTAGTGGAAAAGGGGCTGCGAGAAGGGAGGTGGATAGAAAGAAGGTGAGAAAGAAGGGTACAAGTGTGGGGAGACCAGAAGAGGAGGCGAGGAAAAGAATAAGAAAAAAAAAAAAGAACAAAGACAAAGGTCAATGCTTCTGGCTTTTTAGATTTAGCATAAAATAATTTGGACTCCAGTCCCACAGTGCCTGTCCTAGGTTCATAAGTTTCTGTAGATTACCTGCCCACTGTAATTGTTCTTCCCTCATCCTTAAAAGAAGGTTAATATCTAACTCTCATGGTAGTGCTGAGGACCACAAGAAAGTGACACAAAAAGGCTGGGGATATAGCTCAGTGGCACAGCACCTACCTGGTGAGCACAAGGTCCTTTGTTCAATTCCTGGTACCAATCAAACATGTAAAAGCACTGTGTAATCTACAAACTTTTTTGAAATGGAAGGAGTTATTATTTGCTATCATCATCATTATTATTATAGATAAATATGTCAAATAATATAGAAAACTGCATATAATTTTTAAATGATATTCAAGCAAAGTGTAGAATCAGAGAAGAGATCTGGAGTTCGGGTTCTGAAACCTAGGAAGCTGAGTTACCTTAAACAAATGATTTCCGTATCAGTTTCCACATCATGGCACTGCACTTGAGGATGCCTTATTCATAGTCAAACATCCTCATAGTTAGCCAGTAAATGATAACTGCTGATATTTTATTAGTTACAATAGCAAGAACAAACTTTCTGCTCAACTGTAGTTTAAGTAATGCCTTTCCTTTGCTTAACCCTGAAGAAAGTCACCTGATGCCAGCAGTGTCAAATGCCCCAACTATCATCAAGCATATTTGCTGGGCTGACTTCTCAAACTTGTCTAAAATTGATTCTACAGAACTGAAGAAAAATATAACTTTTCTAATGACTAATGTGCTCAAGGTTTTATTTCAAATGAACTGTGTACTAGTTTTCTTACAGCTATCACCAAATTACGTGGCAGCAGCAAAATGAGATTCCTTTATCGGAAGCTTCAGCATGAGTTTGTATTTATAATAGCAGTCACTTTAATTCAATAAGGATCTAGTTACTATACATCAGGCCCTCAGCCATTCGCTAGCAAACACCACTTGTTATTGAAGCCTGAGAATTTTTGTCTTGTGAAGGGAAAGTTATGTTCACCAATTTATGGCTTAGAGTAACATGGTAACCTAGTATGATAAACTAAAAATAGCATTACTGGTTAAGAAGTTTCAAACTATACATTAAATTTAGGTTCTCCTGGTTCATCTGTGTCTCAACCACTTGACCCTTCATCCCATCTCCTTACACTGGTCTGGGGGAATCAGTGATTCCCTGGCATATATCTCCCTCAGAAAAATCCAAAATGAATCTAAGAAGTTTGAGCTAGGCTTGCTCAAGAGCTATAATCGCAGCACTCCAGAGGCCAAGGCAGGAGGATCACACATCTGATACAGACTTGGAATACTTAATGAGACACGTATTAGAAAACAAAAATACATAATTTTTACCAAGTTGGGGACATAACTCAATACAAAATTCCTGGGCTCACTCCTTAATAACACCCACACAAATCTTATTCATTCATCAAAATAAAACTGTCCCACCTTTGAAAAATGCATGTAATTTATGTTTTGGAGATAAAAAGGAAGGGTTAGTAGGCTTCAGCTGGATGCCTCAGGTGACTTATTTACTGAATAAACTTTCTAAACTCCAGTGTAAAAAAATGACTTTTGCTATTTTAAAAAAGAAAATATTGCAATTATTTATTGTCAAGCAGAGCTAAAGCTGGCACAAAAGAACTGCAGAATTATTTGAACCTAATTAAGCAATAATTTAGAATAGCAACATTGGAAATCTCCATTTTGAAGGGCACCCAGCCCAAGGCCCTTTAAAAGGAATTCTTCAGATTTTAGGATGCTTCTCAGATTGGCCTCAGTCTCACGGCCACATAAATCTTGCTAGGAATACTCTGGGACATTTTAGTTTGCTCTTCTAAAGGGAATTTATGTTTTATCATTTTAAGCATAATTTGTGTTGCACATTTACTATTAAACCTCAGGAATCTAATTGGGCTGAATAATACTGTGAAAAATATCACAGGGTATCCCTAGATGAACTTTGACCATTTTCCGTACTGCATTTACATTTGCATTCATTAGCAAACACTGTTTTGTCATATTATCAAAATTCTGTATGACTCATTTATTCTACTCATTGCTGCAAATCCCCGCAAGTTAAATGTACTAGTCAGCCTGCTTCCAAGGTGAGAAGTTCAGTCTCAAAGACAAAAGTGAAAGCCTAAACAAATACTAAACAAGGGACACTTTCTGGTTTCTCATCCAGAGTAGTTCTAAAAAAGGTAAATTCAGTGCTTGAAAATGAATATTTTCTCACTTCATCAGGTCACAAGTTGAGCTGGCAGGACAGAGGCCACTAATAAGAGTTACAGTGTGAAGAGCCACGCTTTTCTGTACCTTGCCTGTTTCAGGTGCAGTTGTGACAAGAGCCCACCCACTGCCAGGCAGGAGGGAGCCCAGCCTTGCTTGGGCAAATCCAAGCTTGCAAGCAGGATAAAATGGGAGTAGATGTAAAGATTAGAATCCATGCGTTTCAGATTTAAAAGCATCTTTGCTGAAAGTGCAGCCCCACTTGATCATCTTCCTACTATTAGAGGAATGTGGGTATTCCACATTGATGTCAAGATTACTTTCTTACTCATCAAACATTTGCTAGAGTTGGCCAAGTTTTCTCACTCTGACGTGTTACACCGACTAATTATACCAATAACACAAAAATCGCCCCCTCTCCAAATGATAGGAAGCTGAGATTTCATAAAAGTTTTCTGAAGCTTTTAATAATCTTCATATTACTAACCTACTAAAGAGTCCATAATTAAAGGAGGGAGGACATGTTAAACCAATGGCCATAGAATCGTTAAACTTCTCTATCCTTAGTATTCACTCTTAATCACACACCTCAAAATATGTTATGCACTATTCTAAATAAGAAGATAGAACAAGAAGTCATTTTTCATTCTGCATAAGCCCACCACACCCCGTACTCTACCTGCGCCCACCACTAGGGCCCTGGGCTCACAGGTACAGACGCAGTGCAGCAGCGAGTTGGCGCGGACGTTGGTGTTGAGAAAGGCCACCACGCAGCCCAGCTTAGCGAGGCCAAACCACACGTGAACAAAGTCAGGCTCATTGCTCATCAGCAAAGCCACGACGTCCCCTTTTTGCAGAGAGGAATGGCTCAGGAAGACTTGAGCCACTCGGTTACTCCTTTTGTCCACGTCCTGATAGGTGTAGCTCTGTCCCTCGTGGATGAGGAAGGGTTTCTGGGGCTGCCTTTTAGCATGCCTCAGGAATTTCTCCAGCACGGTGTCCAGCCGTCCTCTCCGTTTGTACACCTCCATGTGAATTCCATAGTTTACTACCTTCAGCAGGAACCAGAAGTCGTCCCAGAAGTAAGGAAACAAAAGTTTCTGCACGAAGTGGAGGAAAACGAGGCCAGTTCCGAGTCCAGCGATCCACGACAGGAGCATGGGAGCCGCGGGGCAGGGCAGCCTTGACCCCAGTTCTGCCGGCGAGGGCCCTTCTCCTCCGGCAGCAGTAGCCTCCCAGCGAGAGGCCGGCACCTGCAGTCTGGGTCAGCCTTCTTACTGGGATCCAGAGAGGCGAAGGCAGAAGCTGCCGCTCAGTTCTGTGCACTCGCCTCCGGCCCCTGTAGCGTCCTCCTGCAGCGTCCAGCTCTGCACCCGCTGGGCTGGCTTACACCTAGGAGCCTCTGATTCTAAGCAAATCCCAGGACCCTCCTGGCAAGTGGCCCTGCTCCCTCGCGATGAGCTGAGTTATTGCAGACAGACTGGGTGAATGTGCCTGAGAGTGCTCGGCTTCCTGTCTCCTCCCGGGACAGCCACGCCGGGTCGCCGGCCACGCCCTCCTCGCGCCCCAAGCCCGCCGACCCTGGACTCTGCAGCGCCCCCTCTGCCCCGCCCGGGCGGGAGCGGCCCCGAGAGCGCGGTTCCTCCTGCCCGGAGCTGTGCGGCTCCGGGGCAGCTCGCTCTCCGCATTGCTTGGGTTGCGTGGAGTTCTGGAGGCGCGGGGGTCGCCCTCCTGACCCCTGCCTCGGAGATCCCTGCCGACTCCAGCTTGGCAGTGAGGAAGCTGGAGCAGCCCGGACGCCCTCACCCAGCTATCTCCACCCCGGGCAAACCCTGGCCCCGGGGCACCGGACAGTCCCGTGCAGGGAGAACCTGGTCCCGAGGCTCGGAACATGATAGCCGGGCTGCTGGAGTTAGGCCAGGGCTGCGCGCGCTCCTGTCGAGCTGATGAGGAAAAAGAGAGTTGCTCAAGACGTCAATAAATCACGAAGTTCTAGGAACTAAACTAGGGGTTGGACAAAAAAAATCATAAAATTGCAAACACATCCCACGTGGGGGAGGCACAAAAGGTACTCTCGTTTGGAAACTCCAAGTATGGTATCTTCTGAGAGACATGAAACTTTGTACTCTGCTCATGAAACATACATTTGTTCTTCTTTGACAGTGAATATCTTTTAAAATAGGTCAGGGTCTGCTTTTATATTGTAGTGCTATATGGTGCTTTCAGTAACAGTTTTCCCCGACAATTGATTTGAAAGCTTACGTCAATGTTCAGACCCACATTCAAACAGCAAAACAGTGCAAAACATCACCTGTTCGCTATCTTTTCTGACAATTTAGAGGGCTGTCAAAACTTCAAATTAAAGCCTCAAGGGGGGCTTGGAATGGACAAAAGACAAATAGAATTAAAATTTAATACAAAGGGGACATTTTTCTAAAGATAAAGCCCTGAGAAGCATTTAGTTATGATAATTAATTATGTCTAGCAAACAGCATCATCTTTGCTTTCCACTTTTAAATGTATATAAATGGTTAAGTGCGTTTATTTACATAAACAGTGCCTCAGAGTGTTGGGCTAACTCATGAGGCCTGCATCTGGCTTCCAGCTAACCTCTGGTTCTCAAGGAAAGAAAAAGAGGGAAAGCCTGCTAGCTCTAAAGAACAGATTTTGGCATATGAACTTGATTTATTTGAAATCACTAAATTAGTATAAACTCTTAAAGATCTTTTATGTTGATGAATTCTTTATAACTTTACTCAGAAGATCTGTTCTTTTCAAATTCAGAAATACCTTGTTTAACAAAAGGATTTGTATCAATCATTTTATAACTTGAAAAATATCTTTGAAATTGTTTGGCTTTCTTTCCAAATCTGGTCTAATTTAATAATCTATTAGAAAATGTTTCATCACAGAGTAGAACATGCAATAGTTTGCCGGGGAGATAGCTCAGTAGAATAAGCACCTGCCTGCCAAGCACAAGGGTCTGAGTTCAAATCCTGGTACCGAAAAAAACAAAGAAAAAACAGCATGGGTTTCAGGCATGCTTAGTTTTTGGACCAGCACTATAGCTCAGCGGTCTAAAGCACCTGCTTAGGCAAGCCTAGGCAAAGCACAGTCACCTCAGTTCTATCCCTGGCACCACATGCCACACTAGCCCCACCCCTAGGGCAGGCTGAGCTGGCAAAAACAAAACACCACAAACAAAAAAACCAAAGAATATGCAACAGGTACTCTCAGACTTTTGGATAACCAGAATGAGTAAACTCTGACTTACTCCAGTAAAAAAAAAAAAAAATACAGAAAAGGAAAAATAGGTTTACTAAATTAAAAACGTAAAGTACACATTACAACAACTGTTGTCTACTATTACTATTTCTTCTAAATTGGAACACTTTATTTCAATACAAAGAACAGGGTATGGTACCATTACAATAAAGGACAATCTTTTAAAATTAGTAAAATTAACTATGTGAAAAACTCATTATGCTATGTTTTTTAAAATCTTTAACTGTCTAACACCATCCCAAGAAGTCGAATTGATTTTTACAATTATAGCTATATAAATGAGATTATATCATATTGATATCAAGATTGAGAGACAACTTAACTTATTGGAAAGAATTATAAGCATATGTTGCTGACATTTATGCTGGCCCAAACCCAGTTTTATGTATGAAATCTCATCATGGACACATGAATAAAAGCAAATTTGGGAACAGTTAACGTTACTGTGTTTCTTGCTGTATCAGTCCTTGAGTGTGTTCTCATGTTTGCCAGAAATTTTCCATTCACTTTCAGTATCACTAATGGCAGCTAAGTAAAATGTATGTACTTTTTAGGTACAATGACTAATATTTTTTACAATGAGAGAGAAGTAGCAATAAGCTACAACTGAATAAACCAGCTACTTAAAACAAGGAGAAGTTAGCACATGAAAACAGTTCAGACATGTGCATTAGCTTGACCTTTGATCTAGGACACTGCAATAGTCCTCAATGGCTGCTTAAAACGAGTAGAACTTTTTATTTTTATTTATTTTTCTTTAATACAGTACTGTTTTAAAGGAATGTTGTGGCTAACACAAAAGGGTGCAAAAAGGAAGTTTATTTCAGTCTCTATATGCTTTCCTTAACCTCTTCCCACTTGGATTTTTCTCCAATTCACTTCTAGCCTCTCCAGTTATTCCATGTGCTAATCAAAATAATACTGATCAAATGACATCATTTGATGGATTCTGACTGGTGTCCATGGGATTGGCATTTTTTTTTTTTCTGTCAAAACATCTGTTTCTAAGCCATGCATGGTGGTACATGCCTATAATTCCAGCACTTAGGAGGCTCAGGCAAGAGGATCACTGTGACTCTGAGAACAGCCTGGGGTAAACAGTGAGTCCAAGGCCAGCATAGTAAAACTCCATTGTGAGACCCTATCTCAAAAAAAAAAAAAAAAAAAATTCAGAATTCTTCTGATGTAATTCTACAGTAATCACCATTTAATTATAGGAAGTTGGGTAAGAAGCAAGACATTTAGAATGGTCCCCTGACAAAAAGATGTTATGTTGCAAAACATTACAGTATGTTCCTGCAATGGGCCAAGAAATTGCAACTACCATAGCTGTAGCTGGATAAAATAGACAGAGGTGGAGTGGAATGTGGGAAAGAATTGGGTGGCTCTAAGTTTCCCCTCCGATAAAAGCCCACAGGAACAAAGAAGCAGTTGTTCCTTGAACCTGTTTGGACAAGTGAATAACATGGACAATGAAGCCTATGAGAATGCTCAGCTGAGTTCTCCTGACCTGTTAAGCTTCTGTTTCTACGTATATGTAAAAGCCGTGGCTGCGTTCCCTACTGGCACCTACAACAGAATGGCAAGATTACCAAGGTAGACCATTATAGAAAGACGTAGGATACCTCCTACAGACCATCTTGGCGAAGGACCACAGGCCATCTATTTTCTAATGGTATTACTCAAAGGAAAGTTAAAGTTTCTCCTATCTTTATGACAAGAGATAGTTTTACAACCTTGAACAAAGGACTCACAAAGCAATAAGGTTCTTGCCTTCCCACAAAGACAAGGGGACAAGTATGCTATCTTTCTTTAGCATTACACTTCAAAGGAAAAAATAAGATAAAAATGCTGAATGCAGACTCATCTTCTTCCTAAATTGACCCATAAACAGTCCTACTCAATTTTTAATCAGACACCAGCTTGGTTTTGATGGGAATCTTAATATTCCCATAACCTGAAGTATATTTATATTAATGCACAATAATTACTCACATTATTATTCCACAAGCAGACTCCTGAAGCAAACAACATTAAGGATGAGGGCTGCTATTAGAGAGTTAGGACCTATTAACATTACTACATGTGTCAGACACATCAAACGCTTCTTAAAATATAAAAATTTTATAGCATCAAGCAAGTGCTCCCATAATAATAGTCTCAGGAGCAACTCCCATACAAATTTAATATTGAACTATTATATTTTCTACTAATTACAAACTCTACCTAGAAATTTATGCTAGTCAACATTCTGCCAAGAAGATGTCATACACAAGTATTTTATACATAGTATTTGAAAATATTTTTTTCTATCCAGATACTTCTAGCTATGACCATTTCCCTTTCCTCAGTGTTGATAAAATTAACTGGAAAATGTTTACACAAACTTTTTACCTGTGACAGAGTCCTCAGGGATGTTTCTTTAATACTTTGTATGCCAGTTCAATGGATGCATGTTTCTTGGTAAGTAGTAAACTAATGCAAAGAAACATTTTGGTAACTTGTGTTCAGAATCAACAATGCTCCCTGTGTTGCAGTCAACTATTTCATAAGCCCCATTCTTGCATATGTCTAACAGTCCAAAATTTAGTCTTAAAGATATGGTAGAGGTGTGTGGGAACTTGGGTATGTAGCATGTACTGCATATCCCAACTTAAGGTGGATGTAATAGTCTTCAAATTCACAGCATTTATTTTTTTAATGCTCCTCCAGTGACTTAATCATAACAATTTTTCCACAAGTAGGTAGATGGTCCATCTCTGGCCTGACTTCCAGTTTCAACTTGTGGCTTCTATTATCGATTCAAGGCTACTTTTCTGCATCTGATTATTCTCTCCTGATCCTTAAGAAGTGCAAAGATGAGCATGAAAGTTGTGCCAGTTGTGTTTCTGTATTACAGTTTTACTTTTTAGCTTTTTATTAAACCAAAACTTTCAAACATAGTAATGGTAGAAATAATAAAATATTGACCAACCCTAACATATACTCATCATCTAGATTTAATGATTCACATTGTACCCAGTTTGTCTCATTTATTTTTTCCTAAGGTATTTTCAATAAATTACAAACATGAACTTTCTTCTCTAAATATTTCAAGGTGCAACTCTCTAAAAATGACATTTCTTTACCTAACCACAATACTCTAATCACATCAAATAAGTTAGAATTTTTTAATGCTTCTTCTAATACTTGTTACATATTTAATCATTTTCAAAAAGTCTTTTAGAGTTTGTCTGTCTAAAAAAGAATTAAGTCAAGCTCTAAATTATAAGTTCTCTTTTAATTAGATTAGTCCTTATCACAACCTCTTTATCCTTTCTGAAGGTTCACTTGTTAAAAGAGAATAGGCCTTATGGAGTGCCCCCACCTTCTGCACTGGTCTAAGTGCTCCTGTCAGAGCTTCTTTAGTATGTTCTTTTGTAACATTTTCATATAAGCTGATAATTTGACCCAAAGATATGAGTGGCTCAGGTTGAACAATGTTTCTCAAGAATATTATGTTGCATTTATGTTATGTTAGATCAGTA